GAAAAAGCCACTTGTTATGGTTGCAAAAAAAGCCTCTAACTTCCATTAAAAAAAAAAAAAAACCTTAATCTGTGAGCAACTTGAAACTCATCGTTCCTGGAGCCTAGAGTTTCTTGGCCTGCACATTGAAATCCTTGCAATAAACTCACCTTTCTGCTTGGTTTTAATCATTGTGCCGAGTTCGGTTTTTGACGGATCCCGTTTCCAAATAAGGCCACATTCACAAGTAGTAGGGGTTAGAAACTCAACATCTTTCGAGGGGACACAACTCAGAACATAATACTAGGTAACCTAAGAAAGCAAAACACTTTCACAGAGACAGTGACTGTAGGAAGAGCCACCACCCCTAGGGCTGGTGGAGCAAAGGAAAGGAGTTGATAATTAAAATGTAGGAGCCTAGAGAAGGGGCCCCACGGAGCTAAAAGTCAGACACCTGAGGAAGGGGCACTTGTGCTCAGCTGGTGGTGGGATCTCTGAGGAAGCTGCTTCTTCATGCCCTGGGACACAGCAAGTGTTGGGAAACTGGATTCAGCTGCTGCCACAGGAAGGCACTGCTTCTGAGCGAAGTGTCACCTGGGTGATGCTCACAGGAACTCCTAGGCGAGACAGGAAGAAGCCTCCTTCTTCCTCCTGCAGCCTTTCACTGCCCCCACCATGGGCAGATCCCAGCAGGGAGCAGCTAGCACAGCAGAAATGTGGTCTGCAGACTTCCAGCCCCAGCATCACAAAGCAAAGATGGTTTGTGGCTGAGAAAAAATCAATCAGTACCTGGCACATTGTTTCATTTGATTGAGCCAAGATCAGCCAATGACCCTGAAACGAATGGAGAAAGGTGTCTGAGACCATGTTCTTGCAAATATTGACCCAAACGTGTCACAAAATTCCTGGATTTGTGGTTACTGATGTGCAAATTTTTGCCTTAAATTCCTTATCTATTAAATGGGTATGATAATAATGAAGACCTTGTAGGATAGTTAAAAGGACACATAACAAGCACTTAGAACAGTAGATGACACAGGCTAAGAGTTTAGGACTCATAAAATGCTACCTATTATTTTATTACTATCTCGTTTAATTAGATAATAAAAAAATTAAAACATTAACAACACATTTTAGGGACTATATCTTCCTGTATAGGGAACTCAAATAACTTAAGAAAAGATTCAGGCATTTGCTCACTGCCAATAGAACATCTACAAACAAGTATGGGCTCAATTTCTTCATATCAGATACCTCAAACTACTGTGAATACTTAACATTCCCTGACTGGCAATTGCTTCTAGAACATAAACTTTGAGAAAGGAGAGTTTCTAATCAGGAGCAATGGGACTGAAAAAAAACCAGAATGGCAAATAGGATTCATCATGATTGTCTACTACTGATTGACAGTGGCCACCTGGAATGCTGACCGGAGAATCTCAGGCTTCATCTGGGTTCGGAGGGAAAGAAGTTCAAAATTATTTAGCGATCTCTACTAATGGCATGAGAGGGCATAGATGGGACTCCCGTGTCCTCCATGATTTTATAAACATTGGTAGAAAGTGTGGCTTTTGGGGTCAAAAGTCAATTCAAATTCTAGTTCTCTTTGCAATGGAGATAATAATAACTCAGATGGTAATTTTGAGGATTAAATGAGACAAAAGAAAGAAAGAAAACTCTACCATCTCTGCAAAACTCAGTGTTACTTCTTCCTTTTCAGTAAGACAATAATGCATGATCAACTTACAACCGTATTCAGACTTACTAAACTTCATAATGCTCTCATTATCTGATCGGTAATGTAAAAAGTAGTCATTGTAAAACACATTTTCTTACAAAATGGCTAACACATTCCAAATTTATTTATTCTATAGCAGGATACCTATAGTCATGTTATTTATCCTCCAAATTTAAATGAAACTGGTTTTGGTGAATGAGTGAATATGGGTGAAGTTTGGCTTCTCTACATATCTAATTACTTCAGTATCTACAGATGATACAGATTAAGGGTGATTTGTTAGCTTTCCCCACCTTTCACTGAGTTAGGGGACAATTTTCTTCCTTTTTTTTCTTTTAAAATTTTTTAAAATGTTTATTTTTTTTTCTTTTTTTTTTCAACGTTTATTTATTTTTGGGACAGAGAGAGACAGAGCATGAACGGGCGAGGGGCAGAGAGAGAGGGAGACACAGAATCGGAAACAGGCTCCAGGCTCTGAGCCATCAGCCCAGAGCCCGACGCGGGGCTCGAACTCACGGACTGCGAGATCGTGACCTGGCTGAAGTCGGACGCTTAACCGACTGCGCCACCCAGGCGCCCCTATTTTTTTATATTAAATACAATTTATTGTCAAATTGGTTTCCACACAACAGCCAGTGCTCATCCCAACAGGTGCCCTCCTCAGTGTAAGGGACAATTCTCTTTTACCTTTTATTAATATGAGGGGCAATAAAATGCAATTGTTCTTCACTGCCTGAAAAACAAAAGGAACAATTTCATGAGCAAAAATAAGTAGCTTCCATGGAGTGAGATTTCGTTAGAAGAGACTCTTGGTTTTTTTGTTTGTTTTTGTTATTGTTGTTGTTTGTGAAAAGGTCAGTGTCCATGTTTCAGTTTTACTATTAAATGAATTTCCTGAACTTCATGTAGTTTTCTGAACTATTTGCTCCAGACAGTGCATTTTTGTAAAATATTTTCTCAAAAGCCTCCCTTACAGAAATCAAAGGAACTCCATCCTTGTCAAAAAATCTGGTGAATATATAAATAGGTGTCAAAGAGGTATGATATTTCTCAGATCTTCAATTTTCTCTTTTCGTCTACTTCGTTGTTTAAATACACAGCACCACCTGGTGGCTAAATAAAATTATTGAAATTTTATTGCATCTTAAAAATGGAAAAAAAAAAAGTAGATTCAGCAGCAGAAAAATGCCCAATTTTTTTTTACATTAAATTGGGGCTATTCATTGTGAATTTTTATGCTACCTGGTTTTCTTATTTTAGTTCTAGATGTCTAATTATAAAAATACATACAACTAAACCATGACAAGCTTTAGCCATTGCCAAATATGCGTGTTTTCTTTTTATACCCTTGCATATTTATGAAAAGATATACCTGTATAATTTTAATGGTGCTATTTTTAAAACCAAAATTTAAAGTACTTTTGTAAATTCACCCTCGTGAGGCACTTTAATTCACTCGCTAAAATTATCTTATTGCGCTTGTCTTGAAAGCATTCTCATTTGTAAAGAACCCTAGTCACAGACACTTTAAAAATAACTTTACTCATGAAATACCATCAGAATTAATAAGAGTCATTTGGAGAAAGGCATGTAATTAGTACACCGTAATTATGGTTTTAGACCCAGGATTCAGTTTCCAAAGATGCATTTGATTAAGAAAGTAATGCTGCTGCCCTCTTGTGGTTTAAAGCGCATATTTTTCTCTAGAATTAAGATGATAGCTACCAAGAAATAATGCTTTTGCTATTTAATGACAAAACTGAGTATGAGCTACATTTGACCAAAGTAATATAATAAATAGCCACTAACTATCATAGCTAAGGAGTGGAATGTTCTAGTTAATTCAATATCATTGTTAATTAAACTTGGCGATTAACTTCTTTTAACCTGTTCTGTGAGAATCCCCTCTCACGTAACTTTTAGCATTCTTCACCAGTTCCACGAAATATATTCTTGCAGATGGCACAGTCAACCCACATCCTCCAACTAAAACTAGAAACTAGTGGAATTAATTTCCTACTTTCCCAGCACTAAGTGGGGGAATACATTACCTTCAAACTACTTCAAAAAATAAATAAAAACAAAAACAAAAACACAAAATCCTTTTTCACGTTGCTACTACTGTTTTAGCCTGGGATAAGTTCAGGAGTCTTTTCCAAGGTCCAGGACATGCATTTACCTTGCCGAATCCCTCTGGCCCCTTGCAGTTGTGGCACTGAATGGAGAACAAGCTTGAGTTGCACATTCCAAATGGAAGAGCCAAGCTTTCCTTGCATTGGCTCTGCTGTTCTCCTGCTAGAAATGAATGGTGCTTTTCAGATTTCTCCATACGAACAGAACTAATTCTCTGAGAGCCTGCTCTGTGTTTCTATCTCTCACCTCGCGAGTGTTATTATGGATTAAAGGCAAACAAGAAGGAAACAAAGGGATGATTCTGTCTTGGCCTTAAACCCCAGGCACAGCAGAGTTTATCTATATTTTCCAACTCTGTCTGAAATTTCCTCCAACCACTCCTTCTCTATAATATCCTACAATGCTATCCTATTGAGAAAATAGGAATTCGTTATTATTGAAGAGGGAAAATAAAGCAATCAGGTTTACATTGCCTTTATTTATTCAGTTCCAGAGGAAAGAAGCGGTCAATAGCAAAAAGGAGAGATTGGTTTTGGGCACCACTACTCCCATGGACCGTTCCGGTGCCTCTTGTGCTGCTGTCCCCTTGAGGGCCAGAGCCTTTTAACATAGGGCTTCACCCAAGTTTTATTTGAGGAAGGGACATTTCCTTTCTTTCTCTCCTACTCTTTTCTTAAGAAACCTCTAGATTGATCCAGAAGGCCATTAGCAGGAGAAGATTGAGGGCGGGGAGAGAAGGGCAGTACGACTCAACATGCTCAGGGCTGTTCTCACAAGATCATCATTGCCATTTCCGATATATTTAACTGGAAAACAGAATCTGCAGGGGTTGGCCAGCCTAGAAGAAGACCTGAACTTGGCAGGTCTCAACCATGCACTGGAGAAGTATCCACCTGATCGTCTGTTCTTCGCTGATCAGCTGAAGACACTCATCTGGATCTGCAGATGAATCCTGTTCTGTCCTATTCTCGGACACGAGAGACGGGATACGGCAAAGGAGAAGCAGACAACACTGAGCTGCTCACAATGTGGGTACATTCCTGTCAGACAGCACCTTCCCTGCGCATTCACAGCCCTGCCACAGGCCCTGACTGTCGGGAGCCCTGGGTGTCCCGGAACTCACTTCATCCTGTCCACCAATTTCCCCAGAAGGGACTCTTCTAAACCTCCAGTGAGACGAAGCAAGAGAGGGACACTCTGCTCAGTATATCTTCTCCTGGGAATCTTCATTATGATGCCAACATTGCCCTTGCCTCACACAGCTAGGTTTGCTGATGCTACTCGGTTTGGAGAGGGAAGGTTGCATTGAAAGAAGAACTCACGGGGCAGCTCTAAGATCCTGGTAAAAATCGACTTTGGAAACCTGTGGGAGAACATGAGTTTTTAATTTTATAATTTTCCTTTAAGTTTATATGTGCATTTTGCACGTTTTCCTGTATGCATGTGACACAGGTAAGTAATCCTAAAAGTTATGTAAGAGAAACCATTAGTTAACATTGTGCTGGGTGAAATAAATCAGATTCAGAAGAGGGCATACTTTCTACACAAAATTCTTAAACAAGCAAAGCTAGAGCGGTGGGATAGTAACTGGAAGGAAGTGCATGCCCAGGGGCTTTTGGGAAGCACACAGAATGCTGATATTCTGTTTCTTGATCTGTATGCTGATTCAATGGGTATGTTCGCTTTGTGACAATGGACTAAACTGAGTATTTCCCAAATCCATGGAAAAGGATTAATTGACCCTAATGTGGAAACAACTTACTCTCTTATTATCCCATCCACCTTGAATGAAGCGCCCAAAGCCCAGAAGCAAGAGGCAGTAGCTCATCTAGTGCAGGTTTCGTGAACAAACACAAAACCAGGGTCACTTATCTCTCATTTGCCTCATGGTCCAGTCTATTTATCAGACTGGAGACACTCAGAGCCCAGGAGGCCTCACTGGATGTGACAGGAGGTGATGGGAGCCATCATGCTCCTACTACGCTTGCTACTACTGGGCTGTGCCTGAGGGATGCGTTGAGGGATGGCGAGGAGATGAACCGACTCTGAGCGTCTTCTGATCAAGCAGAATGTGCACAGGAGTTCACCTCCTCTGGCCACGCCGCAGCCTCGTACAATGCTTTCTTCTCACTCTGCCTTGCTTGCCCTCCTACTAATACACCAACTGAGCTCAGTCACATGGGGATTTATCCTTTATTGGTTCGGGCTTAGAAAAGCCAATGTTCAGAAAACTAAAATGTGGCACTTTTTCCAGTTATATTGGAAACATCAAACAAATTTTGCATTTTTAGAAAAGTCCCTCTTTCCTGCATCCCCCAAAGCAAGAACATCAAAACTTTTTAATAAAAGTCTGTCTGTATACAGTCTCGTTGTTGATACAAGTGTATCAAAATAGCACAATACACTAAAAGCTGATCAATATCATTTTTCCCCCCCGTAAGTATGTTAAAATTAATTTCCACTCACTACCTCTTACCAGCTTTTAAACGTATTTTGTTGTTGCACGGTGAGAAGAGAAGGACACTGGAACATGTAGGCCCGGTCCAGCAGGCAAAATCCTTTCTGGGGTCTTTCTGTTCTTACACCTTGGAATGAGCAGCAATGTGAATGCCTCCGAGAGAACGGAAGAGAGCTGGCCAAGAGCCATCTTGGGAAGGAGTCCTCCATGGGGAATGGTTTCCTGCCAGGAGCAAATCCACATTAGCTCAAAGAAACTAGAGATGAACTGTCAGATGTAGCCACTGAGGGGAGCAGCCATCACTGATTATCTGGAGTTTGCATCTAGCCATGCCAGAAAATGAGTTCCAGCTCCCCAGCAAGGAGGAATTGGCGCAAAAGCAGGTGAGGAATGGATGAGAAACAGGAAGTAGTATTTGGATGTCATTTGCTATACCCAGGTAGTATTAAAGCCACAGAGCTACATACCTGTCAGATTAGTGCTTTGCTGATTCTTACCTCTTGTCCCTCTCCCAGCTCCCACTCTGAAGATGTCAAAGGCTGCATAGTGATAAGGGGGGTGAGGGGGTGAGAAGTGTTAAATCACATGAAAGATTGAAGTTTAATATTAGATCAGACTAGACTTTTTTTTTTTTAATTTTGAAAGAATTTTAGACTTACAGAAAAGTTGCAAAACTAGCACAGAGTTCCCATATAATTTTCACCCGGTTTCCCCTCAGGTTAGCATTTTTGATAACCGTAGTACAATTATACAAAGAAATTTATATTGGTAGAATACTATTACCTGAACTACGGAACGCACTTGGATTTCACCAGCTCTTCCACGGATATCCTTTTAATGTTCCAGGATCTGGTCCGTTGCGCATTTAGTTTTTCTGTGTCCCCAGTCTCCTCCAATCTGTGTTCTGTGGCTCCTTGTCTTTTATGACCTTGAAAGAGTCCTGGTCAGTTACTTTGTAGATTATCTCTGTTTGAGTTTCTTGATGTGTCCTCTCATGACTGGATGAAGGTCATGTATTTTAGCAAGAATACCACAGAACTGATGTATCCTTCTCAGTGCAGAACATCAAGGGATACATGATACTAATAAGATACATTGCATGTATCTATTGCTAACAGTGCTACCTTGGCTCAGGTGATGTCAGCAGTTTCCCCCCTATAACGTTACTGTTTTCCCCTTTCTAACTAATAAAGATCTTGGGGGAGACTCTTTGAGGCAATGAAAATAAGCAGTTTCTCCTCAAACTTTTGCCTATTAATTTTAGCAAGTAATTGTTGCTGTGGTGTACTAATGATAATTTTCTATTTCCCTCATTCTTCTACATTTATCAGTTGAAATTATTTTGAAAGGAAGAGCTATTCTTTCCTTCGCATTTATTTATTTATTCAATTATTTAGATTTATCAGTATGAACTCATGGATATTTACTTAATTCTATGGGTTATAATACATTATTATTATTTTACTGCTCAAAAATCTTAGCTTTGGCTGTTGAAAGCTCTTTCGTGTTGATTCCTATGCCCTTTTGACATGTCCCCATCCTTTTTGGAGCATTTATTTTTGGCACCAAAAGATAATCCAGGCTGATCTTGTGTTTTCCCTGCTGGAAGCCAGGAACCAACCGCTTCTCCAAGGAGGCTTTTCTTGTACCAGGATCCAAGCTAGGATTATATATTTCATTGAATTTTCATGTCTAAACCTAGTTTGGTTCCTTCGTTCCTTCGCCCCCCACCCCCCACCCCATTGGATATAGATATGCACACACACACACACACACACACATATCTACATATATATATAGATATACATGTATGTGTGTATATAATGGTTGCATATATATATGTGTGTGTATATATATATATATATATATATATACATATGCAAACACATGCCCATAGACACCTGTATTTCTTTATCCATATGAAAACCTGCGCACACATACATAACAAAAACATGAGTCCATATTGATACTTATGATTCCAATCAAATGCCTCTTGGCTTATTCTAGCTTTCCCACCCCTACCCCTGTACTATTTATGATTTCTTTATCTAACCTTGAAAAACCTGGCTTTCATTATCTGTAATACATTTGTTTATTTTTCAAATCTAGTATAAAAATATAAAAATAGCTTCAGAATTGGTAAGCTACAGATCTGTGAGAGACAAATGTCCTAACCAGAATAAAATATTTGTGTGTGTGTTTTTTTTGTCTTTTGCCTTACATTAGCCAGTCGAAATACTATTTCCATTTTATGTGGTAAATGTTATTCATGCAGAATATGATTAGGTTCATTCATTATAGGTTCTGTGAGTTTCCCACACATTGTTGATTTTTTTTTTTAACATTTATTTATTTTTGGGACAGAGAGAGACAGAGCATGAACGGGGGAGGGGCAGAGAGAGAGGGAGACACAGAATTGGAAACAGGCTCCAGGCTCTGAGCCATCAGCCCAGAGCCCGACGCGGGGCTCGAACTCACAGACCGCGAGATCGTGACCTGGCTGAAGTCGGATGCTTAACCGACTGAGCCACCCAGGCGCCCCACATTGTTGATTTTTAAAAATTTATATGCAGTAAAATTTGCTGGTGGACAGCCTATGGGATGTGACATATGCAGACTTGTATATTTCCCATAAAGTTATGATATAAAACAATACTATTATCCTAAAAATTTCCTCCTGTTCCCCTTTGTAGTCAGACAATCCCTTGTTATCCCTGTTAACCATTGGTTTGTTTTTCTTTCCAATTGTTCTACCTTTTCTGGAATGGCATATAAATCATATCATATAACATGTAGCCCTTTGGTTCTGGTTACTTATGCTTATCAAAATGCAATTAAAACTTATACATGTTTGTTTTTTATGGATGTGCCGGTATGTTTATACATTCACCAATTGAATAACATCCGGTTGTTTCTAAATTTGGGCAAGTGTGAATAACCCTCTATCAACACTCACATACAGACTTTTGTGTAAGATTTTCACTATACATTTGTGAATATCCAGAAGGAGAGTGATTGGGTCATTTCATAAGTGTACGTTTAAACTCATAGCAAAATTAAAATTAAATTAAATTAAATTAAAATTAAAATTAAAAAACCCGTTACAGTGTATGCCACAATATCTATACCATTTTGAACTCCTACTAGCAATGTGGTAACTTCTCGTCACTCTGCACCTTGCCAGCATTTGGTATTTAATGTTTTAGCCATTCTAAAGATGTACAGTAGAGGGGCACCTGGGTGGTTCAGTTGCTTAAGTGTCAGACTTCGTGAGTTCGAGCCCCACATCAGGCTCTGTGCTGACAGCTCAGAGCCTGGAGCCTGCTTCGATTGTGTCTCCCTCTTTCTCTGCCCCTCCCCTCTCCCACTCTCTCTCTCTCTCTCTCTCTCTCTTTCTCAAAAATAAATAAACACTAAAAAATAAAATTAAAAGGCAGTGGTAACTTTTTGTGGTTTTAACTTGTATTTTCCTAACAACAAATGGTGTTGAGTATCTTCTCATACACCTATTTGCTTTCTGGTTTTGTCCTTTGATGAAGTGTGTATTCAGTTTTTTGACCATTTTATTTTATTTATTTATTTTTTTAACGTTTTATTTATTTTTGAGACAGAGAGAGACAGAGCATGAACGGGGGAGGGGCAGAGAGAGAGGGAGACACAGAATCGGAAACAGGCTCCAGGCTCTGAGCCATCAGCCCAGAGACCGACGCGGGGCTCGAACTCACGGACCGCGAGATCGTGACCTGAGCTGAAGTCGGACGTTTAACCGACTGAGCCACCCAGGCGCCCCTCTTTTGACCATTTTAAAATTGGATTGTTTTCTTCTTACTGAGTTTTAGGAGACTTCAATATTTTTAAATAAAAACTCAGTCAGAAATACAATTTACAAATACTCTTCCAGTCTGCAACTTGTCTTTGTCTTTTCATTCTCTCAGAAGTGAATTTCATAGAACAAACATTTTTTATATTGATAAACTCCAATTTATAATTTTTTTCTTTTATGGGCCATGCTCTTGGTGTCATATCAAAAAACTCTGCCTAACCAAAGTAATAAAGATTTTCTCCTTCATTGTGTTCTAGAAGTTTCACAGTTTTAAGTTTTATATTTAGATCTATAACCCATTTTGAGTTGAATTTTATGTATGTTGCAAGGTATGGATGCAAGGTTTCTTTTTGTCTGGTTTTACTTTTTGCACATGGGTGTCTGTTCAGCACCATTTGTTAAAAAACTACCTTTTCTCTATTTATTGCCCTTGGACAAGTGTTAAAAATCAGTTGTTTCTATTTGCGTGTGTCTCTTTTTAGGCCTTCTGTCCTGTTGTGTCAATTAATGTATCTATACTTTCACCAATATCATGGTGCCTTTTTTTGAGTTTATTTATTTATTTTGAGGGGGTGGGCAGAGAGAGAGGGAGATTGAGTCCCAAGCAGGCCCCATGCTATTAGCCTGATGTGGGCTTGAACCCACAAACCATGAGATCATGACCTGAGGGCAACCAAGAGTTGGATGCTCAACGGACAAAGCAACCCAGGTGCCCCCCCACCAATACCATGCTGTCTTGATGGCAGTAGCTTTATAGTAATGCTCAACTGTATTAGTCACTAGGGAAATGTAAAGGAAGATCATAATGAGATAGCACTATATACTCACCCAAATGTCTAAAACTGAAAAAAACTGAACACCAAGTGTGGCAATCATGTGGAGTAACCAGAACACTCATACGTTGTTGTTGATTACGTCCAGTCACTTTGCAGAATAATCTGGCAGTGTTTTATAAAATTAACACTCCCTCCCTGCCCCAGTAATTCCAGTTCTAGACAATTACCTTATAGAAATGAGAACACACATCCACAAAAAGACTGGCACAAGAATACCTGTTGCATTTCTCCCTACAGCCCTGAGCTAAAAACCGCCCAAGTTTCTTCAACAGGTAAATGGATAAACAAACTGTATGTAATCACATGCTCAGTAGCGAAAAGTAATGAAACAGTTCTGTTACACACTGAGTAAAACAAACCTTATCCAAGACCATCCATTGCATGATTACACTTATATGATTTATAGAACAAGCGATAATAACTTATGGTACAAAAAAAAAAAAAATTGGACCCGTAGTTGCCTGTATGTAGGATGGTGGAAAGACTGACTGGAAAGGGTCATAAAGGAAATTTCTATAGTAATGATAACGTTCTGCATCCCGATAGGGGTTTGAGATGTACAGGTGGAAGCTTCTACCAATACCTACTGCATGGTGCACCTAAATTTTGTGCATTCCACTGTATGTCAATTTTACTTGGAAATTTTAAAAAAGATCAACACTTACTGTTCCTTTAGAAAGATGTCTGAAGGTAGGTAGTTCCAGAGTCCTATGGGTCAACGTTATTGTTAAAGACCCAGATTCTTTCCTGTCTTCTACTTTGCCACCAACCCAATGTTGGCTTTTTGTCTTCATGCTTGGTACCTTATGACCAACATGACTCTCTAACATTGCATTGGATGGCTCAGTGATCAAGTCTGTGAGCTACAGAGTCATACTGGGTTTGGATTCTGGTCTTTGTACCTATCGGTTTTGTGATCTTGGCATTTTTTTTAAACTTCTCTATGCCTCAGATTCCTACCTCAAAAGTGGAGATAATCATATCTGCTCCATAGGGTTGCCGTGAAGGTTAATCAAGATAATACATGTGAAGTGCTTAGCATAGAGGTCAGGGTATAGTAAAAACATTTTGGTATCAACATACATAGTTGAAATCATATCACATTCAACTCTTGAACAACACTGGGGTTAGGGGTGCTAACCCCCTATGCAGTCAAAAATCCAAACTCCCCCAAAACTTAATTACTAACAGCTTATAATTGACCAGAAGCCTTACTAATAACAGTTCATTAACATATATTTTGTATGTCGTATGTATTATATACTGTATTCTTATAATAAAGCTAGAGAAGTTATTTAAATTTTTTTTTTCAACGTTTATTTATTTTTGGGACAGAGAGAGACAGAGCATGAACAGGCGAGGGGCAGAGAGAGAGGGAGACACAGAATCGGAAACAGGCTCCAGGCTCCGAGCCATCAGCCCAGAGCCCGACGCGGGGCTCGAACTCACGGACCGCGAGATCGTGACCCGGCTGAAGTCGGACGCTTAACCGACTGCGCCACCCAGAGAAGTTATTTAAAAATCATAAGTCAGGGGCACCTGGGTGGCGCAGTCGGTTAAGCGTCCCAGAGAAGTTATTTAAAAATCATAAGTCAGGGGCACCTGGGTGGCGCAGTCGGTTAAGCGTCCCAGAGAAGTTATTTAAAAATCATAAGTCAGGGGCACCTGGGTGGCGCAGTCGGTTAAGCGTCCCAGAGAAGT